ATTATCAAACGTAAGCGCTCAATCTAAAGATTTTGAAGAAAATATTAAAGCGCAAGAAAAGGAAGCTAAAGCCAAGCTTAATATACTAGAAGAAATTATTAAAGAACGAGATGAAAACATCAGAACCAAGCAAGAAATAATTAGTAATTTAGAAGAAAAAATTAGAGAACGAGGAGAAAAAAGTAAAGAAATTATTTATTCTTTAGAATATGTTGATGGAGATACGCTTAAAAATTATTTGAAGGGTAATTTTGATAAGCTTACTTGGGGAGATAAATACAACTTGGCATTCCAGACGGCTCGTGCTGTATTATATTTACATGACGAAGGAGTTGTGCATCGTGATTTGGTAATCTTTCATAAAATATATTTTCTTCTCAATGTCTGTTCAATAACTAACTTTTTTTTTATATGCATACAATAGCATTCCGGCAATATACAAATTCATCAAGGTGTTATTAAACTAGCCGACTTTGGATTCTCGAAAAGAATTGAAGCAGCAACCAACCAATCAAATTCTTTTATAGTAATTCCTTATGTTAACCCAAAATTTTTTAACAGACGAAGAAATGACATTACATCACCACAATTTAAACTGAATGAAAAGAGCGACGTATACAGTGTTGGTATACTTTTATGGGAGATATCAAGCGGATATTCTTCTTTTAAGGATGAAGAATATGACGTAAGTTTAGTTATCGACATTTTAGGAGGTCTTAGAGAAAATATCATTCCCGGCACACCTAAAGATTATGTAAATATTTATACCGGTAAATATATAATAATTAAATTTATATCGTATATATTTTTTCTAAATAATTTTTTAACCATGAAATTTATATACAATCTTAGAATGCTGGGATAATGAGCCAGATAAGCGTCCAGTTATAAATCAAGTTGTTGATAAATTAAATTTAATTATTACAAAAACAAAAATGCAAGAAAGTGACTTCATCAGATGGAAAATTATCTGGAATTAGTCAAAACAGTTATCAGTTAAATGATCAAATGAACTGTTATGAAACAAATAAAAATAATTCTGAAATTATTTATCATTTGGCTGGTCAGAATAATGTAGAAGAATTAGAATCAAATGTAGGAGTATCTGATATTGTTTATGATGATGCTATTGAAAGTTTAACGATTACAGAATTTAATATGGATGACATATTAAACGCCTTAGGAGGATTGCAAAGATTTCGGAAATTAAAAGCACTCAGCTGTAATTATACTAAAACAACTATTCTACCAATTTTACCCAACTCCTTAATGGAACTTGATTGCCAATATACTCCAATAACTAACCTACCAACATTACCCAACTCCTTAACTTATCTCAACTGTTCCTATACTAAATTAAATAGCTTATCAACTTTATCCAATTTCTTAACAAAACTTGATTGTAGTAATACAGAAATAAATAGCTTACCAACATTACCCACCTCCTTAACTAAACTCTATTGCTCTTGTACTTCAATAACTATCCTACCGACTTTACCAAATTCCTTAACGAAACTTGATTGCTCTGGTACTGAAATAACTATACTACCAACTTTACCAAACTCCTTAATGAAACTTGATTGCTCTAGTACTGAAATAACAATACTACCAACTTTACCCAACTCCTTAATGGAACTTTATTGCTCTAATACTCCAATAACTATCCTACCAACCTTGCCCAACTCCTTAACGGATCTTAAATGTTCTCATACTCCTATGACTATCCTACCAACTTTACCCAACTCTTTAACTATACTCCATTGTAGTAACACTAGAATAAACAGCTTACCAACTTTGCCCAACTCCCTAAGAATACTTAATTGCTCTAAAACTCCAATAACTTGCTTACCAAATTTACCCGATTCCTTATTATTTATCCAACCTGAATCTTTAAAAGCCTATCCTGCCATATCAGCATGATGGAAGTTTGTTTTAATTGGTTTAATATTTGTGATCTACATAAAATGTTACACCAAATCAAACCAATAAA